CAAAATTTTTGATTTTCGACCTTTTTTTCAGTTGTACATTTTTTTGTGCTTTTGTGAAAGCTTCTACATGTGTTAGTTTATATCACGTATGTTAACTTTGTCTGAAAATTGAAAAGCATAAATAAATATGAATTCTCATCCTGTACATATCTATAATAATGAGACTATTCGACTACCATTTGGACGAGCGGTTGAACAGTATCTTTACTCACTTCTTATCTCTCATAGCATCCGATACAAAGTTCAAAGCAAAAAGAGAGTAAATGATGCAGTAAAACAAGGGCTTATAACAGTTGAATGTGTAGAAGGTTCTATAGACTATCTTGGCTGAAAAACTGAAAAAGACCAATGTAAATCGACAAATCGTCTCGATGATGTTTTGCAGCTTACTAAAAATGGAAAACATCGAGTTCAACAAATACGTGCTAATGAAGAAAGTAATCTTCAAGTTTAGCGATAGGTCTGGTTTTGTTCTGGTGAAGGTGGTTGTCAGAGATCTTGTGGTGGAATTGGTAAATGTGTAGAAACATGTAATCACTATGCAAATGAACATAACAGTAAGAATCCTCTTGATATGCACAAGTGCAGTATATGAGTTATTACTAAGGTTATGCTTTCTGAAGTTGATACTGATTTTCCAGTGCATATGATTATTAAAAGAAACCATGTTCTACAAAATATTATCCAAGAAAAAACTGTGCCGTCTCAAATTAATTTGAGTCGAGAAGTATGAGACCTTGCAATCACAAGTCGTCGAGCTGACAAATGAACGACAAAAGAAATTAAGATGAAGTTACTTGCATCACATAATAGTGCATCACAAAATGAACTTGAACATCTATATCATCAACACTTTATATGTGATGAGTTAAAGCTTCATCAACTTATTGAAAGAGATAATTTACGCACACGAAGACAAGTAGGTCCATAGACAACAGTGCATAAGTTGGTAACTAATGTATTGAAGCAAAAAGGTGTTGTATTGTATTACTAACAACCAGACACAAATGCACCCGAAAATAGTTTAGAGAGATATTATCAACTTACCTTGAGTGATGATTTATGGCTTCAACAAGCACGTGACTTTGGTTTCTTTTGCTTCAGTATCGATGGCAAGTATGATTTAAACAGTAACGGGGCTCTGATTTTGTCTCTAGTTGTTGAAGATAATGCAAGATATGGAATGCCAATTGCATTTAGAGTATCAAACAAAGAAAATAACTATACTATTAGACTTGCCATAGAGGCAGTTCAACGAAATGTTCCATGCAATAATTTTGACTGTTTACATGAGTATCATTATGAAGATCTATCAAATGGCAAAGGATTTATGAGAGTTCGGAATTGTGCACCAATATGGCAACTATTTGCAATGATCGATAAACATCGACCAACAAAGCGGGGACTACAACCTATTTTACATGGTTTAATCTTATGCTGGTTCTATATAATGCAAACATTCAGTGTACACCTTAAAGACCTGCGAATTGATAATCGTTACTGGTACCCCATCGCTATTGCTTTTAAAATAGTAGGTAGAAGTAGAAGTAAGGAGGAAGCTTTGGAGCTTGGTGAGGCTTATAAAACTTTTATTAAATTTTTGCCACTTACTGAGATCGCAAAAGAATTTTTGTATAATGATATAGTTGTGAACTGGTTGTCTGAAAGTGGATAGATTGTTTTATTGATAGTGGTCGAATGCCATTACTAAATGATGTGCCAGGTGTTAGGCCAATGACTACAAATAATCTTACTGAACGAATGAATAAGTCAATTGAAGGTCAACGCATAGGCACTCAGCCAATTAACCATTTTATCGAGAGGCTATATGGCATTACTTTAGTGTGAGATAATATTATTAAAGAGATCTCTTCACAACTCATATTCGAAGCAGGTCAGGTAACATATTGGAATTCATGAATTATAGAGCACTAAACTCTACTGTTTAAACAACCAATGGATATAAAGCGATGACTAAACCAAGGATGACTTTATGTTTTACTTCACTTAGTCAAACCTGCAGTTAAAGAATTGGATACATATTTCTATGTG